TTTCCTTTTCACTTACTTTCCAAATTTTTTACTTTCCAAATTTCTAACTATTACATAGTAAGTATGCATAAATTTTTTCTTTTAAGTTACTTTCTAAAGTTGTAACTTTTATATGGTTAGTATATAATCGTATTTCACTTATTTTCGATAAATTATATAACACTCGCTTGTGTTTTAGTAAAAATGCATGAAATTATTTTTGTTTACTTGTGAGATTTGATTTAGGTTTTTACTATCACAATTTATTCTTTTCCATAAAAAAAATCAAATCAAACATCTCTTTTTTATTTATTATATTACGTGCAAATTAAATTTTACCTTCAAAAATCACATCAATATATATTTATATCACATCAAATAATTATTTTAATTCCAAATTTTACTATTCAAAACTAAAACCCAAAACCAAAATCTTTCAAGTAAACATTATTGAGTGAAACCATTTGTTAAAATTTAGAGTTTGCACAAAATACACTCCTTGTTCAAAGCTCATGTTTGGTTCTAAATAAATGTTTAAATTATGCAAAAGTTATACAAATAAAAGACATAAAATATCTTAAATAATTTTTTTGATTAAAATAAATAAATAAATAATAATCAATCATTTATTTTTATAGTTTTGTAAAAATCATATAATAATTTATCTCCAAAAAAACTAAAAAATAAAGGATAATTATTTATTTATTTAATTTAAAAAAATTAATTACAATATTTTATCTCTTTTATTTGTATAAAACTTGAATGATTTGGTTCATATTTACAATCAAATATCAGTTTTTGACGAAAAACATATTGAATCAATGGTTGCAACAAACATATTAGATATCAAGTTTCACAAGATCAGAGAATTGGTTGCTGACAAGGAAATCAATATCAAATATTGTTCTTCTGAGTGTCAAGTGGCAGACATTTTCACCAAACATTTGAATCAATGTTAGTATGTTAAATCAAGTCAAATAGTGCCTTTGAATCAAAATAATGTTTATTAGTAGTGGGTTTGTTGAAAAGTCTTTGGCTTATTTTTAGGGATTATCCGTAACATCCTTTGATATATACATTCTAAAAATGCTAATATTATTGTTACTAATTATAAAACAAAAATTGGTCTAACTTAGAATTTTACCATGTTAGATACTGAAAATTTTCACACAAAATTCAATTCATGTTAGACACTTTTCACCTATAATATTAGCCACTACCAAAATGTCTTAATTGTATTTGCTTCATTCTTTTTAGTTGTATTAAGTTACTAATTGCTAATTGAAATTAATTTTGTAGGAACATTCTAATTTATCTTCTATTGTCGACACGCTTCAAAGAAATTCACACCATTTATCAACAACGGCCCTTAAAAAGGCATGGAAAATATGTTTTAGACTTCTCCAATGCAGCAAAAACTTAAATTGCTACATATTGGAAATGCATGAGGTATGTACACAACATCATATAATATGCAAAAGGTTAATTTTCTAATCATGTTTCAATAGGTTGATTCACGAATAGTTACAAGATATAAATCTAAAGTACATGAAAAGGAAGTGACAATGAGAGTTATTGCCTTGGGTGAGCATATTAAGATGATGTCTATGGTTCAAGTTTTTAACCAAACCCACATCCATCCAAGGAGTGGGCTTCCACTACGTAAACGACTGGGAAATTGGGTAGTAGAGCATAGGAGGTCTACCTATTCTGTATGGAGTGATAAGGTTCCTATCTTACTAAACATTCTTTTTTACATAATTAAAAAATTAAATATCATACATAATAGCTAGCCTAGTTTTTTTACTTAGTTAAAAATATTACAATATTACATCCACTCTGGTCTGGCAAGGAAGTTCAAATCCCTAAAAGAAGTGGCAACATTTACTTATTTGACTGCTTTATTGAAGTTTCGAAGGTCACACAAGGTAAACTGTAAATAAGTCTATATAGTTTGGATGTATCTTTAATTTTATTTCATGTTGTAATACTTCTATTAGAGTTCGTTTTGTAAAGAATATGATCTCTATAGGTCGGAGGTTTTGGACTTACTAGTCCCTTAATTTGTTTCATCAATGATTATGAAAGCAATGGTTGAGGTACGAGGAATTGTACCCTTTGCCTCTCACATGCGAAGCGAGCATTCTACCATATGAGTTATATTGCCTGTTTGCATTTCTATTGAGGCCATATTTACTATGTGAAGTTTATGATTCCAAGTTGTAGAACGTTGTTGAAATCAATACAGATCTTTTAAAATGTGTGGAGGTTTGAGTGACTATTGATTTGGATTCAAACATCTTATTCTTTACATTGCAAATTAGAAGCTTATGTATCAGTAGCGATTCAGTCTAGTTCTTTGCAGTGAATCAAAAGTGAATAACCTGAATCAATTAATGGGAACAACAAATTATGTTTTCTTAGCTTATGTGCAAATATTTCTGGAAATATCGATAATATATATGAATAGGTTTACTCTATCGGTGTCAAAATGACCGGTCGCACGGTCAATCAAATATTTCACCTACTCCGTGATCACAATTTACTGTAATACAGGAAAAGCGATCGTCTCCACAGGGATTATGTGATTCATTCTTTCATGTTCTAATATAGTAAATAAAATAGGGGAATTTTCTTTTATCATCTAATGAAGATAAAATAACAAAACAATTAAATTAACCGAGAACTAGCTATTAAGGGGATGTCTGACCGTTCGCATGGTCAATCAAATATTTCACCTACTTTGTGATCACAATTTAATGTAATACAGGGGAAGAGATCGTCTCCACAGGGATTGTGTGATTCATTCTTTTGCATTCTAATGCAGTAAATAAATGAGGAATTTTCTAGTATTATTTGATGAGGATAAAGTAACCAAGCAATTAAATTAATGGAGAACTAGCAATCAAGGGGTTGGCTGACTCAAATGATGATTCAGTTATGGCACTTGTCTTTCATCATTAACTCAATGAAGTTAGTTCTTATTAAATTATCAATAAATTTGTTATAGTTATCAACAAGTTCTGACAAGCAATTTTTCGTTACAGTGTAGGTAATTAAGATACGACAATCAACTACCCCTAATTAATCTAATAAATCTAGATACGCCCATAGGAAATATTGTCTAATTGCATTCTATTTCAGAAAAACTCAATTCAAAGTAATTAATACCTAAGAGAAGCAATTATAATTGATTGCCTAACCCCCGGGAAGGGACTATTCAACCCAATTATTACTTATTCAAGCGCGAATATAATTACGGATATCCTACCTGAATTGACTTCAGATTGTTAGATTAATTTAAATATTGGTACAAAAATATCCAATCGATCTAACAATCGCAAAAACTACTATCAGAATTAGACAAATAGTGATACTAAAAAGAACTTTTATAAAGAATGTCAAGAATCTCCAAAACACAAGGACCACACCATTATCATCCCTCAAACCAGAAAAATATCTGCTCCATAATCAAATAACAAAGAACAATAAGGTAAGATAAAGTCATAGTCGGAAGAGAAATGCTCTGTTGATTTGCTCATGCGCAATCTATGAATCTGTTAGGTTCTTGCTACTCTGTATGCCTGCTTCTCGTTGTTCTCCCCTCTGCATGTGACTTCCCCTTCTTTTTACTTAATTAAATTCTCATGTTAGCAGGATGTGGTTAGTCATGGTCATGACTAACTTGATTGTTCAATGCTGATTTTTTTTTCTTTTATTTTCCTCAAAATTCACCAAATTTGCTTTTTCTCTCCTACATGTTGGAAATAAACAATACGCAGAGAAATTAGGTAGAATCCAATCAAAATCAATCAAATATCGCATATGATATAAACATAAAACGCATGTGATTTCGAGCTATCAATTCTCCCCACACCTAGACCATGCTTGCCCTCAAGCATAGATTTGAAATAAGCCAAAGAAATTGAAGGCCACTCAATATGACAAGAGGATTCAACACAACCAATTCAATCCGAAATTCAACACGTCAAGCCAAGTCGACCTCACAAGATAAAGTGTATACGCACATGCTCTCTGAAGGAATAAGTTTACAATTGGTTCAACACTCAGGTAGTGCAACAAAAGATTATCCTATAGGCTTGAATAAAAATCAAATCTCCTTTACTTAAAGATATTTAAATCTAACATAAAGAATCATAGGGACTTTCAATAACAGTTGTAGCATGGCTTATGGTCAGGAGTAGGAAAATAGATATACAAAGGCTAAAATATGTCAGAAAAGAACACAATAAGAACATGATACTAGCACATGAAAAACAAATCGGTAAAAACACTGAAACCCTTAGTTTATTTACTACCCAGACTTAAATAACGTAATTATATAAAAATACTTTATCAAGATGATTATTTTTCTCTTTTTCTCGTTTTTCTATTTTTTTTTTTTTTGGGTTTTTGCCTTTATATAAAGATACCTTCACTACCCATGGTCATTCCTGCATACTATGTCTTATTCATACCCAAATTTCATTTCTAACTAGTGTCGAAAAAATAAAGTGCATCATAACATAAACTTAAAGTAATTCTTTCTAACATATGGTTGAAATCGGAGAAGACTTAATAAAAAGAAGAGTATGAGGCTAAAAGACGTTTTATTAAAGAAGAAAAATATGCGAAAAAGGCTCAAATGTGCTAATTACGGAAAAATTATTGGCTAGGTGATAACAAAAGGCTTAATTGGGTTACCTAATGCCCTTATCATTTCCAAGACGCAAGACTCGATAGTTGCATGTTCAACATGCATAATCACTATGTTCTAGGTCATCTAATTGAGCACTACAAATCGCACATAAAAGAAATTTCAAAAGCTTGAATATTAAATTTATTTTCAAATGTAACTTTTGGAACATAGGCTCAAATCTCATAGGGTTCAAACGTCGACTCAACTCAACATATCACCAATCAAATTTCATTAGTCACGCTAGACAAACCTATCACACAAATCAAATTTGACTTATTTCAGACTAATCTAAAAAACATGCAAAAGGACAGCAAATCAGGTATAAAAAGTAGAACGGAATGAAAATTTTGCCCAAAAATTTGCATAACTGTCCCCACACCAAAATTATGCATTGTCGTCAATTAGAGAAAGAAAAAATTAAAAGAGAAGAAAGAGAAGTGGAGTATGATGCTTCTCTAGGTTTGAGGAGCCGACGTTAATCTGTGCGGGGAATGAGTGACTGGATCATTAGCTTTAGCTCGGAGAGGGTTGTAGTCACTTCAGTGTGAAACGCGGCATTCTCAGTTCAAAGGGCTGAAATTTCAATTTGTTGGTGTCCGAGTGCAGGTCGCAAGTGATCAAATCGCATCTGGGAGTCTTGAGGGGAGGATATGGGTGGATTGGGATCATAGGCAGGGAGGTTTGGAGAAGCTTGAGATCTGCGGATTGGTGTACCAACAAAAAACCAAGTCCCGTTGGAGTTTGTAACCAATTTAATTGCCTTGAGATAGGGAATATCCAGAGGCGTCATCGAGCAGGCTCTGTTAAGAGAAAAATAAGTAAGAAATTCAATAGAAATATCAGAAATAAGACCAAGGTTAAGGGCGAGGTGTGTGATGTAAGTGCCTTGAATGAGGTTGCCGCCTTTAGTAGAAAGCACACGATTAAATCTATCGACCAACAAAAAGGGAAGGTTAATTCTGATGCCGCGAGTCATGCCCCATAATATATATAATTCAACCTTAGAAATCACACATGCACCATCCTTTCTACCAGTTAAATTATAGGCAATGAATTTATGCGTGAGTCGTAAAGCAGGAAGTTTGATACATGAGGAATGAGCATTGCGTGGATGAAATTGGGAGGCGTTACCACTAATTTCTTGCCAAAAGTCATAGAACTCACTAGCAAATGGTTCAGTATAATCACATATCACATAAACTACTGGAATAATTGGCACTTTGAGAATCTAGTTTAGGCACAACTCCTAATGCTATACCATATTCAATTATAGAATTATGAAAACTTTTCCCCATTAACCAAAAATGGATGACATCAGGGGTAAAAAATCAAACACATCAAACAAAGTGAATTGGAATATAGAAAAGAACTCATAGACTAACTCAGTGATTGCTAGTAAATAGAAAGTAGCAAACAAGATCCAACCAACATTGGAAACATACGTGTTTATCTAAGTGGTGACCTGGAGGTCATCTAAGGTCGGTATGTGAAAGAGTTTACCGGTAATGATTTTTTGACCTGCTTCCAAGCATTGATCATAACACAGGCACTCCTGGGGGTCAGGGAAATCAAAATTATCTTCAATAACTGAAGTGGAGGCGAGTTGAGTAGCAGTGCGACGCGCACGATGACCAGTGGAAGAGGTGCCACCCATGGGAATACGTGGCACGGCAGGAGGTGGACTGATGGTTGTCTGCGTTTCTTCTTTGTAATTCCTTCTGATTGAGTAGCCTTGATGGAGCTTGTGGTCAAAACTTGAACTTTACCCATGAAATCTGCAAAATCAAATAGCCGGCCACACAGTAGACTACAATCAGACCAAGGCAATATCTAAACACACAAATTCGACAACTATCCAGATGTATCACTTAGAAAATATCAGTTTCAGAGCATAAAAACATGGTTCTAATAACCTGTCCAGAAAGAAAAAATAGGAACGAAGATTTCTCAAACTAAGTCTAATACCTTAAATATTACTATCATGTAAGGAAAATTCGAGGCGAAGTTCAAACCAAATTCCTAGATATTAAGGACTGAAATTCGAAAATGGGAATTGTAATAAGCAGTTTAAGTAATCACCCAATTCTCAATATAGAATCCTAAAATTGACTGTAGTAGGAATGTGGAATAAAGAGATATTACCGAGCCAGAGGGGTGAAGACATATTAGCGCGGGCGGTCGCAGTTCGGCTTGAGTGAACCGGTTTGGCGGTGGCACAATAGGGGCAAGGTGAAGAATCACGGCGTCAGAAGCTTGTCGCGGTTCGGTTTGGTCAAACCGGTTTGGCAGGAGGGCGACACGGTGGAGAACCGGTTCGGTGGTGGCACAGCAGGGGCGAGGCGGAGAATCGCGGCGTCGGAAGCTTGTTGCGGTTCGGTTAGGTCGAACCAGTTCGGCATAAGGGCAATGCAGTGGAAAACTGGTTCAGTTTGGGTGAACCAGTTCGGAGGTGGTTGGAATTGCGGCAGAGCGATCTGGGCTGAATCGGCGGAGGACAGCGCGGCCGAGAATCACGGTCGCGGTTTGGTTTGATTGAACCAGTTCGCCGGTGGTGCTGCGTGACAATCCGGGAGATCGTGGTGGAAGCAAGGGGAGGGCAGTCATCGAATGGAAGAGAAGAAGAAGAAGGGAGGAAGACAGGAAGAGAGAAGAAAAGGGTAGCCGGGAGAGGCCCGTCAAGCAGTGTTCGGCGAAGAAGAAGAAGAAATAAGCGGTGTCGCGGAAGGAAGAGTGGGAGAGACCGGTTGGGTTTGGATTTTGGAAATTTTAAATTTATTTTGGGATTTAGGGTTACAATTGGATAGGGTTAGAAGGGAGAAGGCAGGCAGTGTGGCAAGGGGTGTTTAGTCATGGTCATGACTAAACATTCTCTCTTATTCTGGAAACTAGATGGGCAACGGAAGGTTGGGTGGGAACAAAAAAAAAAAAAACAGTATGCGAGGTGCCAATTACTTATGATCATGACTAAAAATCACTTTTTTGCCTAATTTTTTTTTAGAAATCAAGAAAATTGATCGTGCTTTCGCCAAGAGTTAGTAATTATTTTTCAAAAGACCTGCACAAAATCAAACAAAAAAATCAAAAATATTATTAGCATTAAAACAATAAAACAAATAGGCAAACAATTAAAATTAAAGAAAACATTTAAATGGTTTGTGTTTTCCCAAAAAGTGCTTTTGTTTATAATCTTTTAGCTAGACTTCTTCGCATCTTAGTTCTCAACTTCAGCACCGGCAAGAGATACCAACTTTACAAAAATTCAAGTGGGAATCCTTCGTAATATGACTTAAGCCGATGTCCATTACACACAAATATTTTCTCCATCTTTAAACTATGAATCTCCCCTGCACCACAAGGGAAAAATTTAGTAACGATAAATGGCCCTATCCACCTAGAGCACAATTTTCCAGGGAAAATCTTGAGACGAAAATGATATAACAAGACTTTCTGTCCAATTTTTTAAAAAATTCTGGAGATATGATGATCATGAAAGGCTTTTGTCTTTTCCTTGTAGAGTATCACATTCTCGTACGCCTCTTGTCGAATCTCCTCTAACTCTTGAATTTGTATTTTTCGATGGACTCCGGCTTCTTGAAGGTGCATATTGCACTTTTTCACTGCCCCAAATGCCTTGTGTTGAATTTCCACAGGTAAATGGCAAGGCTTTCCATATACCAATCAAAATCGTGACATCCCTATTGGTGTTTTGTATGTTGTTTGGTATGCCCACATAGCATTATCGAGTCTCCAGCTCCAATCTTTTCTGTTGGATTGAACTATTTTCTCCAAGATAGACTTCACCTCACAATTGGAGATTTCTGCTTGCCCATTTGTTTGAGGATGGTACGAAGTTGACACCTTTTGACGTACACTATATTTTTGAAAGAGTGCAACCATGGTTTTATTACAAAAGTGAGTTCCTTTGTCAATTAAAATTGCTTTCAACATTCCAAATCGAGAGAAGATATTGGACTTAATGAATTCTGCAGCCACCTTAGAATCATTAGTTCGGGTGGCTCTTGCTTCCACCCATTTCGAAACATAATTAACGGACAAAACAATATACAAGCACCTATATGAATTAGGAAAAGGTCCAATAAAATCTATACCCCAAACATCAAATATTTCAACAAACATCATAGGCTATTGAGGCATTTAATTATGGGAAGAAAGCTTACCTGTTCGTTGACATCTATCACAAGACTTATAGAACACAAATGCGTCCTTCAAAAGAGTAGGCCAGTAAAGTCCACTCTCTAACACATTTCTAGTTGTCTTTTTGGATCCAAAGTCTTCACCACATGCCATAGAATAACAAAAGATCAAAATATAATAAAATTCACCTTCATTAATGCACCTTCGAATGATTTGATCAGGACATCACTTCCAAAGGTAGGTGTCATCCCAAATGTAGTATTTCGCATCGCTTTGGAGCTTATCCCTTTTCTCCTTTGTCTAACTTGCAGGAAACTTGTTAGTGAGTAAATAATTAACAATATCAGGATACCAAAGGTATGTAGTTGCAATGAAGAGAAGTTGTTCATTGGGAAGAGACTGTCGAACAAGAATTGCATCCGACTTCACAGGTATGCGATTCATGTGATCAGCCACTAAATTTTTAGTTCATTTATTGTCGCAAATTTCTATGTTGAACTATTGCAGAAGGAGCACCCATCGAATTAATCGAGGTTTGGCCTCATTTTTTGCCTTAAAGTAGCGTAGAGCTGCATGATCAAAGTAAACAAACACTTTAGTGCCTAGAAGATAAGATCTAAATTTATCAAGAGCAGAAACAACAGCAAACATCTCTTTCTCAGTGGTAGAGAAATTTAATGGAGCACCATTTAATGCTCGTGAAGCATAGTAGATGACATGAGAAGCTGTCCCAACTCGTTGCCCTAGAACAGCTCCCATTGTAGTATCGCTTGCATCACACATCAGCTTGTATGGCAAGTCCCAATTCGGAGGTTGAGTAATTGGTGAGGTTGTGAGATGCTCCTTCAATGCTTCAAATGCCTTCTTGTAATCATCATTGAACTCATATGCTATATCTTTTTGTAGGAGGTGAAACAATGGTGCTCTGATCTTGGAGAAGTCCTTGATGAAGCACCGGTAAAAATCTATCTTGGAGAAGTCCTTGATGAAGCATCGGTAAAAAACTGCATGTCCTAAAAACCCGCATAGCTCTCACACAGAACTAGGGTAAGATAAAGCAGTGATTAGTTCAACTTTAGATTTATCTACTTCATACCCTCATGTGACACCTTATGGCCTAAAATAATTTCTTAACCATTAGTTGACATTTCTCCCAATTAAGCACAAGGTTAGTTTCAATGCATCATTTCAGGATTAGAGTCAAATTGAATAGACAGTCATCAAAACTAGAGTCATATACGCTAAAGTCATCCATAAATACTTCAATGATTTGCTCTATATACTCAGAGAAAATACTTACCATACATCTTTGGAATGTAGCAGAGGCGTTACACAAACCAAAAGACATCCTTCTGTAGGCGGAAACTTTAAATGGGTAGGTGAATGATGTTTTCTCCTGGTCCTCGGGTGCTATCGCTATCTGAAAGTAACCTAAAAGTCCATCTAAAAAGTAATAATATGCGCGACCAACCAGTCTTTCGATCATTTGATCAATATAAGGGAGAGGAAAATGATCCTTTTTTGTTACCGCATTGAGCTTACGGTAATATATGCACTAGTGCCATCCAGTTTGCTTTTGAACATGGAGCTTTTCTCCTTCTCAAGTCTCTTCCACCATTACTCCAGCCTTCTTGGGAACTACTTGAACTGGATTCACCTATCTACTATCGGAGATAAGGTAGATGATACCCGCCTCAAGTAATTTCAACAGTTCTTTCTTGACTACCTCAGTCATAATCGGGTTTAACTTTCCTTGAGCTTGTCTCACCGGTTTGGAATCCTCCTCGAGTGTCATCCTGTGTGTACAGAATGAGGGATCAATACCTTTTATGTCAGCGATTGTGCATCTGATGGAGTTCTTTTGATCTTTTTAAACCTTAATCAGTTTCTCTTCTTCTTTTGGCGTCAATTTCGAGGAGATGGTCACCAATAGAGTATTTCTCTCTCCAAAGTAAGCATACTTTGAAGTCTCAGATAGAAGCTTCAATTTCCATTCTGGTGCCTGCATCAAATATTGTCATAATCACTGATTAGATTCATGTAAGAATATTTGAGCCAATTTATACATTGGTGACTAATAACTAATATTTTTGTATTTTTATTTGTACAAGTTCACAGGAAATTTATATTTGAAAATCAATGAGCTAGAGTTTATGGAAAAATGGTCATATATTGTAATATTTGTGGTTGTAGACCCTGAGTAGTTATCACAATTATTTATACTCTTTATACTGGTGAGTTTCCAGGTCGAACACAAGGATTTTAAGTCATGAATTTCAAAAGGTGAAAATCTTTTGAAAAATCGACGAGAATTGTAGCAAGGGACCTGATTTTTGCAGCGGATCTAAATTTTTAATATATCAAAAACAGTAAGTAAAGCGGAAAAGGGGGTGAGCGGAAGCGAGCGAAGCGAGGGTGTAAAGTGAAGTGCTAGTGGTAACCAGGTGATCGGGACATGAGCAGGGCAGAAACCGAGTGAACGGGACATGGATGATTGGCGATTACCGAGTGATTGAGACATAAGTGAATGGCACAATTGTTCATATGTATGTATAGGTAGGCGACAGAGAATGAAGGAGAGGTGTTGTGTCTGACTTGTGCGTTACTAAATGGATAGATTTTCCTGGATGCAATGAGCGAATGGTGTAAGTGTGTTAATGAAGATAGATATATATTACGGATATGTAGAAGGAGATGATGTAATTATATAAACTGAAATGTAAAGAACTCTTAACACTGGAATTTGACCTTAAGGGATTTACAACAAGACTTCAATGACACCCAGAATCGAGATATTAAAAGAAAGAAACCCTACTGTCACTAGGAATCTCTGTGACTTAATAGACCACCGTCTATGCCCCGTTAATTATCCTAACTTCTGCCTCATTATTGGCTTTACCTTTATGTTACCTCTTTTTAATCAAAATTGAAGTCAGAACAATAGTTAAGCAGGTTGACAAGGCTCCCGCGTACTTAACTACATTGAACTACCTTGAAACCGCTTTTGGCGCAAAACAAGGCTTAGATAGTCAATTCTTCTCATGCTCTAAACCAGTGAAATGAGATTCTCTAATTTCAGAGTTATATAAGTATGGATAAAGTGTGGAAGAGATGTAGATGAAAAACTGAATGATATTTCATTACTACTAAAGTTGGAAAACTAGAACTACAAAGCTGTAAATAAAAGCAGTAAACTATTCTATAAAGCGGTAAAGACTTGGCCAAGGGAGAAGGGAAATCCCTACTCCCTTGGCCATTCCTGTGGAGAACTCCCTTACAGGGTTAGAGCTCTCGAAGATAGGAAGACACCTAAAATGCGCAGAATGTAATTGCTATGTGCTCTCAAATTGAAGTCTCTTTACATAGAGATATCTGGCCTTATTTATAGTAGGTGAATTGGGACGGTTGCTAGCAGTTGCTAGGCGGTTCCAACCGCTGGGCAGTTAGGCAGTTGTTAGTAGTTATTCTGTTGAAGTACTTACTGCCCATAACTCCCAAGGCACCCGCTTCGCTAGCATTGAATTGTAAAGGCACAGATCTTCCTCTTTTGCCGGAAAGGTGGAGGGCATCAGCGCAACTGGGGTCGCTTGTGCTGGCTGGAAGTGAAATGACTGTACCGCTGCAGTTGGAACACTTACTCAAAATCTGCTGACATTCTGCAGTGGT